AGGGTTTCCCTGTCTTATTTTGTCAGGAGCTAGGGTTTCACTACGCACGCAGCGGTTTCAAACAACCTATAATTGGGTAAGCAACCTGTCTTAGCTTGGAATGGTCACTATGGATTCCGAATATGCACTAGGTCGAATGGTCGAAAGGGGTGCCCCGGTAAAACTGGGATTTGTGTTTCTATACTGGCAGAGCCCGCAACCGGTCAGCCTTATGGCACGCTTCTCAAAGCGAGCTTCCGGCAAACTGCTCAGGAATAGCAGACGGCCAACACGGTGTCCTAGGCGCACCAATGCACATGCAATGCAAAACACATAAGTGTAGTCAAAATAAGATATCATGAGTTCGAGTCAAGTTCTTTAACTCCCCAGCAGAGTCGCCAAAAAATATAGACGTCCCCGAACGCCCCGGGAGGATGAGTCCCGTTCTGTTCGTTTGGGCTCACTACAGTTCGGACTCTCAAATTGTCACAGTTCTTAATCTGAACCAAAGAGTCCAAATTCGGAAAATCGTTTTGAGAAAAATAGATTTTTGTAAAGAAGTGCCAAACATGGACTGCTTTGCCAGATACAGAGTTGCCACCTAAATATTTTATTTTGCGGGAATTTAGGAAACCCTGACTCGTTTGCCTAAGGCCACGTGTCCATCATCACCAAAGTTGCCTCGGCTCGGGAACTTGGGTACGATTGGGGAAGGTCAGCTATGAGCACCCCCTCTTGCCCGATCCGAAGATCGGCCTCTACTAACCATGATATCCAGTTTTGAAAATATTGTGCGTTCTTATTCCGGTTATTAGCCTAGATTTACTACGTGATGAGCACAGCAAACAAGTATAGACTAAGTCGCCTAGATTGGAACGAAACATTTCATGTTTGTTTGTTTGAAAATGGTTTGATGGTGCTACCCGTTAGTAGGCTAAGACATGAATTTTGCCACCCTCAAGTGGGCTTAGAAAATATAATTTTGCCACTCTCAAGTGGGCTTAAAACTCGTATTCAATGCGTTGTTCCAATTTAAGTAACTCAACCTTCACCCATAGGCATTCAGGCAGTTATAACACGTAAGCACATAGCCTCATGGTAAGCATACTATCATGGCAACACTCACACTCATGCAAAGATGCTAAAACATAAATGCTTACCGAGTACTCCAAGCCAAAACAGAAACTAGTTAATAATCATATGCATGATCCTAGTTCATGTTAAGATGGCTAATGTAACACATGCAAGATGCAGCTACAATAGGCTCGACTAATCTATGGATGGCATATGATGATGCTGCAACTAACACGTATTCAACTTGGAATTGAAATACAATGCAATTAGTATGATGCGCCGAGCCCGGTGCATGCAAGACAAATGTATGGATGCACGCATGCATAGCATAAGGTATGCTAAATTAAATATGACCTAATACTAACCATTGAAAGCAGGTAAGTAAAAGGGAGAAAGAAGTGGGGGTTGGAAGACATACACACACTCACGCACACTTATTACACAATTGCCCTCACTCGGAGGGTCCGAATAAATATTACACAACCAAATGAATACTACTAAATTAATTATTATAGAATTTCTAATTAATTAACAAATTAAATGCAGGAGGGTGGCCGCAGCCCTGCCTCGGAATGCGTGGATGATGCATGCTCGATCCGCCTTGCCCGAAAACCCAGTACCATGCCACTGTTGCCTCTGTTTACACTGCGTTGCTCCTCTGAAAATTATGAAAGTTTCCAGAACTGCTTTGAACTTCCTCCTGAGCACTGTGGAAGGTCACCGGCCAAAAGTAAAGGCCATCGGCCATCCATCGACCATGGATATTGATATCGGCCACAAATGTTTGGTCGATCGGCACTGTAGATGGCCGACCGGCCATATCTTCCTGCAGAAACCTGTTTTGATAGCAGCAGAGGACAGACAAGGCATGGCAATGCATTTTCAAAGCAATGTTTGCACCACCACCCTCCCTATCATGTTTAAGACTCAAGGGAGCATGGTACTTGACCCTCGGACCACTAATCACGCATTTCAATGCATGATGGCCCAAAGAAGCTAAAGTGTGCAATTTCAATATGGAATGAAATGCATAAAACAAATAATGGGCCTCAACCTCTATCATAATCAATTCAAGAGGCATGGGATGCACGCAATGCTATGCAACCTAAGTATGCAAGCTAAGCATACAAATGTGCAATGTGTCAAACATGCAAAATGCAATGTAACAAACATGGAACAAGGCCAAATATGCAACAACATACAAGGCAAGCATGCAACAACATGCAAGGATGGTCTTGAACCGAAATGGACAGCCCTCAAGTAGGCCCAAAACAATGGCCAAAAGGATACAACAAAAGCATGAAAACACGCACACAAGCATGCATGCACAAGGGCCTAAACATGGAGCATAAGCCATCAACTCTTCAAAGCATGAAAGGGATGGAAAATGCAAGTATGCAAACATGGAACATGGACTGAAATATGGTCTCCAATGATGCCAAATCATGAGAACAAGCCAAGTAAAGCATGCTAGTGACCCACACGCCCAAAGCTAACAAGCTGGAATGCAAAGGGACCATACGAAACATGTTGAGCATGATCAAAGCAACTAAAAACAGAGCTAAAGCATACTAAAACATGCATAAAAGCTTCACAAAGCTTGGCCAAAATCATGCTAGAACAAGGGTCAAAGCCTAAAGCATGTTAAGGCAAATTCATGGCATTACAAGACAAGTATGCAAGGCATGCATGGTGTGTCTAAACCAAGTAAAAACAGTGCTATATCATGGCAAAATAAGCACAAATAACACTTAAGACATGGCCAACATGAATTTAAAAATGGTGCTCACACATGAGGCTAAAATGGCACTTTTTGAAGACAACAAGGAGAAGGAATGGCCCTCTCCTTCTTAGGACCTTAAACCACCATCCTCACCACTGAAATCCCTCAAGATTTCAGTGGTGAGGACGCCCAATTAAGGTGGTCCCGGAGCGCACCAGAAATAGCACAAAATGGGGCCAAACAAGGCCTAAGAGGGGGTAAACGACCCCAAACACAAAAGTGACCTTAAACAACTATTTAAAGCACTAAAAAAAAAGACTTTTCCAGTTATAAGTTAAGCTCAAAACAGCATGCAAGATAGGCCAAAAGTGTGTGCAAAAACGGGGGATTTAAGGCTTAGAAACTCACCCTTGAAGACCTTCTTCAAAACTAGCACTCCAGTAAATTTTTCTGAGTCAAAACCAAGTCTTGAGCCCCCACAAGACCCTCCAAGAACCTTAGATGAATGGTGGAGGTGTGTGCTTAGGAGTTGGGGTGCCAAGGGGTCAAGAACCAAGCACTTTGGAGGCTTGGATGTAGAGATATCAAGAGAGATATATGTTTTTGTCTTGGACAAATTTCTTGGAACCCTTGCAATGGAAGAGGAGCTCTTCTTTTATAGAGGAAGAAGGGTCCAAGCTTCTCTTAGAAGCTTGGAGCAAAGGGGCCAAGCTTCTCTTAGAAGCTTGGAGCAATAGGGCCAAGAAGGCCAAGCTTCTTGGAGAAGCTAGACGAAAGGGCCAAGCTTCTTGGGGAAGCTAGATAAGGGTTCAAGCTTCTTGGAGAAGCTAGAGGAAAGGTGCAAAAGGTTCAAGCTTCCTTAAGAAGCTAAAACAGGGGGTTCAAAAGGTTCAAACCCCCTTTAAGAAAAGGTCTCAGCCAGAAAAAGTGGCTGATTGACCAAAATCAGTGGCCGGCCGGCCGACCAAACACAATGCCAACCGGCCATCACTAATGGCTGGTGGCAAAGAAACAAGGCCGGTGGCCTCAAGCCATGGCCAGTGAGGTGTGGGGATGGCCTACAAGCTATTTCCCACCCTCAGAAGCAAAACAACAAGTGTTTGATGCAAAACCAAACACAAAACAAACAAGTCGAGAGGTCTTGAGGTAAGGCGCGTATCCGAAACCTCCGAGAACTCAAGACGAACACAAACAAGGGTAATCATTGAGTGTTCAAACGATGACGTCCAAGTCTTAAGGACGGTCAAAAATGGGGTGTCTACACTTACTTGTGAGTACAAGAACAAACTAAATGAAGCATACCTAATATCTAGTACTTGCCATTGTTTTGTGCTATCAACTACAATCATGGAATTTTTTACTTTGTGATCAATCAGGATAATCTGGTTGTTCTTGTAGAATCTTCATTAGAGATACCTAGTCATCTTGATGAAGTTCTATATCATAATCTATCAAGAGCATTGTAGAAACTTTTAGTTTCTTCATTAATATGCTTCATGCTAGAAATGCTTCTAGTATGCTTGATAGTGTTGATTCAAGTTGCACCACCGGGATGCAAAAATCATGACAGATGTTAATTTAGCAAGTAATTATCCATGCATGCATAAATAGCCGTAGACCTGACCAAGAATCTTCATCAGAGATACCTAGTCATCTTTGATGAAGCTCTTCTTGGATTGTCCAATTGGGACAGTTCAGGAGCACAAGTCTATGTTGTAATTAGTAGTTCTACTGCTTAAATGTAGTCCATCTCGTAGAGATTTCGTGTAGTAGCTCCTCATGTTCTCTAAGTGCATACTAGACAAGGTGTAGCACCAGTCTATGTCGTGTACTTGGAGAACCATGGAGAGATGTTGCCGAAATTTCGTTAGAGATGGATAGAGCGGTATGAGCTACTTTTTACAATATAGACTGCGTATTCCTGAATGGGAAAGTAGGATGAACCAACCTATTAGAAAAGAGTTAGAGGTGAATGGTGTCATGTCACATGCATTATAAGGTACTTAATTGAGGTTAAGAATAATTAAAATGAAATTATAATTTTGAACCTCGTTGATTTGGCAGTGACATTTGTAGTGTGAGACAAAGTCAGATGGATAAAAGTTGGTTAAATCAACATAGGTTGCATCTAGAATATATAGAAGGGGTTAAGGAATTTGTTAGCTACTGCTGTGGGCTTGCTGCTGTGTGATGCAATAGTCACAAAGTTGCTAATTATTTGCAGGTCAATACAGATGCCGATGAGTCAATGAAGAAATTTGTTTTGGCATTTGTTGGAAAAAAATGGCGAGAGTGGAAGGCTAGAGTTAAACAAATGAGGTATACACCATTCGACAATGATGCTGATAGGTTAACTTATCGACTCGAAAGAGTACATGAGCATCAATGGCGAAGCTTAGTCTATTATTGGGGCACTCGGAAGGCACATGTATCATTTAAATTCTTTATTGATCTCTATCGTAATCTCATAAGATGAGTTTGTTAATTAATAAATTATCTTGTGTTTGTGCTCATATGTAACAGAAAAAAAGTACAAAAAACAAAAAAATTCGGAAGAAGAAGACATTAAATCACATAACTGGCAGAAAACCATTCTCAGTTGTTTGAGTAGAGGTATATAGTTTCTTTATATTTCAAATTGAAATTGTATATTTTGATTTTGTTACTTAATTTTAAGTGTAATTGTAGGAAACTAATAAGAAGAATGAAGTTCCTGCAACACGCTTGGAGGTGTGGATGGCTGGGTACTCGAAGGATAACAAACCAAGTAATGATAAAGTTGCTGCGGTCATGGTATGTAGCACCATAATCATAATAATGCATTTTGTAGAACATTGACAGCTACGATTAGTTTGAGAAATCATTTCAAGTGCTCACTCTAGAGACTAAGTGGAGCACTAGCTTCAAGATGTTTATGATATCAACCCAAGTAATTTTGAACTCTTATTGAATTAAAGACATAAATCTACTACTAACATATATATAAGGTAGTCAGTAACATATATATAGGGTAGTCAGCAATTATATATAACCTTTAACAGTGCCTGCAAATTGGAAGTGAGAATTAACTAATTATGTCTTGCTCGTAGGCTGAATTTTATTGGTGGCTAATTACTAATTAACAATTGTAGACACAAATGAAGGATCTTGGGGCGCAATCCAATGTTATAGATGAAGAAATTATCTCACAGGTTCTAGGGCCTGAGCGACCTAGTCGTGTTCGAACATATGGATTGGGTCCTTCTCCGACTGATGTCTTTGGAGGCAGATACAGGCAATCACAAGAACAAACTCGTATCATCCAAACGCAAGTCCAAGAGCAACTTAACCAATATAAAGCACAAATGGAGATTCAAATGAAGGAGATGATGGATGCTATGCTTAATCAACAAAAAGTACAAATGGAGATGCAAAGCACAATCCAAGCTCAACAAGCACGAATAGAGCAATTGGAGTCTAAACAGGCCATGGGTGGGCCTGTTGCACCAACTGCTACACATGTGCATTCACAACAACAATCCCATGCATACACCTCCTCGTTTAATTGCCATTGTTCGTCCGAGGAAGTGAGTAAATAGTTAATTATGAAATTTTCAATATGACATTTTATTCATGTTATTTGTCCTTATCAAATGCAAGTTCACATATCAAAGAAAGAAAAGAAGAAGAAGAAGAAGAAGTAGATATGACAAATTATACCTTGAAAAGGTCTATTCTGTCTCCACCCTTTTTTTAATTTTTTTTTTTATGGTGGCAATACACGTAGGCTTTTCTATTTCTTTTTCTTCATGATAATGTTTGCAAGCTTAATATGCTAGAATGCATATAGAGAAAGGTCAGGAGTGGTCTAGACACATTTAGGGTTCAAAGATATGTTTATTTGCAGAAAAAACTCTTATTATTATGCTACAAATCCTTAGAGTGTGAGCACCCAAAAATTCCTGAAAATTTTTGGTTGTGAATGCAGGACAAGTAGCAGACTTTTGCAATTCTCTATAGCATGGATATTTTCAATATTTTCATGAAATTTCATTTAGTTCATCCATTTCTGATTGATAGTAAAGTAAATCCCTTAATTCTAATTTCTGGTATGTCGAACATGGGGCCTCCCTGGGTGTTGGTCTCGTGGTGTGTCTGTACATCCTTCAATATTATTAGCAATACTCAGAAAGTAACTTCAATCAATTCAATAAAGTGTGAGGTGAAATTGCTATGGTCTTCGTAGGTAATTATACCTGTTTGTCATACGGTCATGTCATGGCATGTTCACGCTGACATATTTTCCATGCGTGACTTTAACCTTTCACATTAAGCTTCCAATTGGTCACGACTTCAACCCAAAATAGTTGGTAGAATAGGGATTTAAGATTTAACAACGATGTGTCTCAAATATTTGTGACTAGCTTTACAAGAGCTTTATTTGTTTGGGAGGAGGATGAATTGATCAATCTACTAGCTTTGCTCTAATCATAATGAAGATTGTGTTGTGCGGAGGGAATGTTCCTCAAGTGAATTCACTGTGTATTTTCTTTATAAATGGTGTGATACTGCTTTGGGCCCTATTCTGTCATCACCAAATCTATTGTGGCATAATGTTGCCCCACCCAAAGCTCAATTCTTTGGGTGGTTAGCATGGAGAGGCAGGATTGAAACTGCTGTTTTTCTCAAAAGGATAGGTATAAATGGCAACACTTGTTCTTTATGTTTTTTGTAAAGAGGAGGAATCAACATGTCATGTACTACTCTTTTGCCCTGTGATTTGGAAAGTATGGTCTCACATGGTAAAATGATGGGGGCTGCAGTGGCCATTACTAGGTCCTGTAGAGGGTCTGCTACAATGGTGGGATGGACTTAAGAGTTAAAAAGATGGAAAAAGTAATGTGGAGAGCCATTCCTATTGCTCTTATTTCGTCAATGTGGAAGCACAGGAATGATTGCATCTTCAATGGGGGGTTAACCAAATTGGGAGGAGCTCTATGATTTGATAAAATTGAAAGTTGCAATGTGGATGAAATCATCACCCAAAAGTCTACATTATTTAGTTCATGATCTAATCTATAACCTGGAGCAGCTTAGAGTTTGTGGTCTTTCTGTTCTCAGATGGTGTCCTGCTGTAGATAGGCTGTTTGTTGGGTGTTGCTGCTGGATTGGTTGGTTTTGGTCATTGCAATTTGGCAGCCTGTGTTGGGGCTTGCTTGCGTTTTGATTGCTTTTGTTATCTTTTTTGAGTTGGTTCCTCGTTAACTCTTGGCATTGAGATAGCATATGATCGTGCTTGCTTTTCAGTGCCAACCTAGTTGGGGCTTGCTTGCTTTTATTGATGTACCTCTTCATGTTTGTTCATCAATAAAAAAAAAAAGAAAAAAACTAAGCCTTGTATTTTGTTGAATGATTTAGATTTCATTGTGATTTGTTATTTGACTGTTTTCTGATAGTCAGAGTGTTGAGCTTCCATATGCATGAATATTTGACTTATAAATAGGAAAATTTCATTTCTTGGACTTGATATTTGTGTTCTGATATGTCATCATAAGGTTTCCTACAGACATCCTGATTAATTTTTCTTATCGGCAGGATTTGGTGAATTATGGATATGTTGAAATTTTGAGTAATGAGCGACAAGCTGAAGAAGTGAGCTTTTGGCACATTATGCAAGAAGATTATACTGGGATATGTTTAAGTGGGATGTTTCTAATATATGAAGGGTATGTGTATTAGGATGATAAATGTTTTCAAGTCTTTATTAAGATAGCCTAAGTATTGTCTATGGACTTTTGGTAGTACATATATACGTATATTATATAGAAGAATATTTTTAACGGTTTGAATTTAATGAAACTAGACTGATTGGGAAGTGAATGCTAGGATAATAAAACTAATTATACAGTAGTTTTGGAGTGTGCTTCCTCCTCTCACATGCATGATATCATTTTGTATACTTCTTGTCTATGAATTTTTTTTTTCAATGACACTGCTAATAATGTTATGGTCACATGATAATTTCAGTTGCATTTCACTTTCATATGTTATATTCCCACATCTTATAGAGCATAGCATCATTTGATATCATACAGGGAGAAGAAACTGGAGAGCAAGAATGTGGCAGTGGAGAAGTGGTGGAGAAGCCTACTAAAACCATCCAAGAAGAGTTTTATTAGGCAGTGCCAGAAGAACATGAAAGAAGGGAACATCAGGGGAGGAAAGAGGCGGCTAGAGGTGCGATTAGGGAGGCTGTGGTGGCTAGTTCTATAATCCTTTTTAGTTTCACAATTTTCATGGGATAAAGGCTTGTTTGATGATTGTTTTGAGTATTTTTGTTGTAATTGTTCTAGTGAACTTTGTTTTTAATGTTTTGGGATTCTGTTTTTGAAAACCTGGATTGTATTTTGTGTATGAAATGTGCAATTAGTTAAATTCTTTGACTTTGTTTCCAAAGTTGTAGTATGAACAGAGAATGCCATCTTTGGTATTTTTTTTTCATATTCTTTTATACCACCATCAGCAGCAGCATAGGTGGGGGTGGGGGCTGGAATTGATATTTCATTTCATAATAATAATAATAATAATAAAAATAAAAAACAAAACAAAAGTGGCGTTTTTTGAAAAACAAACCGCCACTAAATGACGTCATTGTGACGTCATCCGTTAGTTTGGGAGGTGGGGGTGGAATTGATATTTCATTTCATTTCATAATAATAATAATAATAATAATAATAATAATAATTTTAAAAAAAAGAGTGGCATTTTTTGAAAAAAACCACTAAATGACGTCATTGTGACGTCATCCGTTAGTTTGGGACGGAAGTTGAGACGGGTGTCAAAGATTTTGCGGCGTTTTAAAAAACACCGTCTAATAGTTTCAGCGACGTTTTGTAAACGTTGCAAAGCTATTGCGACGGCCGTATCAACGACGAAAAATTTAAACGTCGCTGTAACATTTTGCAACGTTTTCAGGCTTTTAGCGGCGTTTTAAAAATGCCGCTAATACTCATTTTTCCTGTAGTGACACATGTTTGAAAACATAAAATGCACATTAAATTAAAGACTAAATTTGATGTTATTGTTATTATTGCCGTGGTCCTTACCACTGCTACCCAAGTTAAAGAAGAACATATATAATAGTAAGGAACAAGGATTGAGAGAAGACGAGATTATTGCAAGTATTAAAAATTTAAAATCTATATAGAAAATTGAGAGAAAAAACTCTTCAACCTTTCTTTTTAAACACAAAAATATTAATATCTACACTGTGAAAGTGCTTTTAAGCTAATTGGAAACTAGCCCAACACCGCTGTGCTAAGTCTCTCTCATATATATGATACATACGAATAATTAATAATTTAATTTATATTTCTATCGGTTTTTTTCCCATCGTTTTTGAGATATAAATCATTTAAAGGTTCAGTCTATTATTAATGAACTTTGAAAAGAAGCAACTTTGGCAGGAGGAGGGTGCAATATTCATGCAGCTAGACCAAACGTAACATTAAAAGCATGCTAATGAACTTTGAAAAGAAGCCACTTTGGCAGGAGGACGGTGCAATTATGCAGCTAGACCAAACATAACATTAAACGCATGTTATGTATTCTTTACATCTTTTGGACTTCTCATGCCAATTTTGAATTAGGGAAGTAAGAAAAAACGGCGGAAAAACAAACTAGATACTTGGGTATTAAAAAAAAAAAAAAAAAGGGTGACAACAAAAAAAATTATGGAAATATCACGGAATAGACACAAGTAGGTGTAGAGCAATAAAATTGAATAACTTATTGTTTGATTCAATAAGTTTAGGGTGAATTACACTAATGGTCCCTTATAGTTTGGGGTATGTGTCATTTTGATCCCTGACTTTTCAATTGTGACATATTTGATCCAAAATTTTGAATCTTGTTCTAAATAAGAACAATTGTAGATATTATTGGATTTTTCAAGGGCAAAATCGTCAATTCAATAAAATATAAATTAATTTGACAAAAATAAATGTCAAAAATTTATTTTTGAATTTTTAAAAATTATTTCTAACTACTAAAGATAAAATTATATAAAATTGATAAATCTTTTAGACATTTACCTTTTTTTTACCAAATTAATTTTTATTATGTATTTAGATGTTGATCATGTAAAATTAATTTTTAAAAATTAATCATGTAATTTTTATTAATTTTTGTCAATTTTACATAATTTTATTTTTGGTGGGTAAAAATAATTTTTCAAAAATTTTAAAATATTTTTTTGACATTAATTTTTGTCAAATTAGTTTATATTTTATCAAATTGACGATTTTGCCCTTGAAATTAAACAATAGAATGTTCAATTGTCCTTATTTGGAACAAGATTCAACATTCAAAGTCAAATGTGTCACAATTGAAAAGTCAGGAATTAAAATGACACAAATCCCAAACTATAAAGACTATTAGTGTAATTTGCCCATAAGTTTATATACATTATTAACATTGTTTGCAATTTTTCTCACTTTATTTCTAAACTAACTTCCATTCAAAAAATTATTCAGTGTCTTTGGTTTGAGTTTTTTGGATTAAGTTTTTTGAAAACTGAGTTTTTTAGTTTTCATGTTTTTTTTTCTTATTTTTAGTGAATATTTTTAAAATTTAATTTTTTTTTTACTTTTTTAGATGCAACTTACTTAAATGTATCTAAAAAGTAAAAAAATTGTGAAAAAATATTTTAAAAATTTAATAAATACATAAAAATACAAAAAAAAATGTATTGAATTCTCGTTTTTTTTTTGTATTTTTGGTATTTAGTGAATTTTTAAAAGGTTTTTTTCACAAATTTTTTACTTTTTAGGTATATTTATGTTAGGTATGTCTAAAAAGTAAAAAAAAAATTCTTAAAATATTAAAAAAAATTCAATAAAAACAAAAAAAAAATACGGAAAACAAGAAAGTAAAATTTTCTGAAAAGTACTTTTGAAAAAATGGAACCAAGCAATAGAATCTGCCACATCATTAACATATCAACTCCATGAGTGATGTAAAAAATTACTAAAGATGCAAAAAATAAAAAATAGAAAACAAAAAAATTGGAATTTTTTTTAGTCTTTCGTAAACCTTTTTTTTTTTTTCAAATTTATTCATAAATATTATTACATTATAGATGCATCTAGATTAGATGCAACTAAAAAAATAAAAATAAATTTAATTAAAAAAAGAAAAAAAAAGTTTACTACAGACAAAAAAAAATTAAAATATATTGACTCAAACACTTGTATTGTCAATTTTGAAATAAAAAATTTAGGGTAAATTACATTTACCTCCCCTGAGGTTTCTAACAAATACAGGGACCTCCCCTATGGTTTGAATAATTACAGTAACCTCTCCTATTTTACCTGACAATGCCAAGATTCCCCTAATCCGTCAATTTTGCTCAAACGACGTTATTTGCTTATACAAAATGACCATATTACCCATTACTTAAGCACAAAAAGACAAAAATACCCTTTAATATTTTTTTAACCCAATAATTTATATCGATCCTTTCCCTTCCTCCATTTACCAATCTAAACCCTCTGAAGAAATAAGAGAGAGAGAGAGAAAAGCTCTTCTTCACCAGTGCCCCTTCTTTCCACCGTCTGCCACTGCCGTCTTTCCTTCTCCTCCTCTTCTTCTTCCTCCACTCCCTTTCCGCCGTCCGTCGCTGATCGGTCTGGGTTGACCGATGATGGCAGCAGCGTTGACCGATCTAGGTTTATGACGGTTGGTTGCGATCTTGGTCATGACCGGAAGAAGAAAAAAAAGAGGAAGGAGAAGAAGAGAGAAGGGGGTCGAACGGCGGGAGAATGAAATGGGGAAAATGGCATCAATTGATAAAAATGAAGCATTATCTCTTTTTGATTACAAGGATGGCAATGGTAGGCCTAAGATTGGGATAGTGTTGAAGAAACAGGAAACATAAGTTTTGCACACCAAGCATTTTGGTAGTGATTGATAGATGCAAAAGTTCATAAATCTTGCTAACTTGCTTTCTATTCCTTTTTTCTTCTTTGAAACCAGATTTCATTGATTTTTGTTTAAACCATACTTTTTTCTTCTCTTGCCTTCTCAACCATTGATTTTTGTTTAATCCATACAGTTCCATTGTTACAATAGAACAGATTTATGAGCTTTATTTATTGTTTCTTGTAATGAAAAAGGAATTGAACATGATTGGCTTTATTCTTTTGGATTCTTTTTCATTAATTTTCATTTTCTCTGGCATGATGGTTCACAATACATTATAGATGCCAAAATCTGGACCAATTGAAACCTAATTTCATTATTGGGTTGCGGTAGATATGGACCATAGTTCTTTGAAATCTATCGGGTTATTTCTAATCTTTGAACAATGCATCTGTTTGAGAAGCATTTTATTTGAATTTTACTTTTATTGCCTGTGTAGCATGAATTCTTTGATTTTATTTTAGTTTTTTTAAATTAATTTAGTTTTTTTTTTCATGTTAAATCTGGATGGCCTAATAATATGAATTTACAAATTTGTATGTATATGCTAAGGCCATTCTAGTTGGTTCTATTTGCTGCATATTATAGTTCCCAAATATTATGAATTGTTACTTCTGCGTAGAGACAAATCATGTTATTATGAAGTCTACTAGTTCTTACAATTTTTGTATAAATTTAATGTTGTGTTTGGAATGGATAATAAGGAGATGGAAGTGGTAAGGATTAGAGAGAGAGAGAGAGAGGTGATGGCAGTAATGTTACCAGTGGAGGAGTAAGAGAGGAGGGAAAGGAAGATGAGCAATGTTTGTTTGTGATGTTGTGGGTTGTTTGGTTACAAGGAACAAAGGGTAATTTTGGTATTCAGTCACCATAATATGCTAATGTAAGAAATTTTCATCACCTGTCTAACGACTAGTTAACAGAAGGATCTTTGAACAATGAATCTGTTTGAGAAGCATTTTATTTGAATTTTACTTTTATTGCCTGTGTAGCATGAATTCTTTGATTTTATTTTAGTTTTTTTAAATTAATTTAGTTTTTTTTTTCATGTTAAATCTGGATGGCCTAATAATATGAATTTACAAATTTGTATGTATATGCTAAGGCCATTCTAGTTGGTTCTATTTGCTGCATATTATAGTTCCCAAATATTATGAATTGTTACTTCTGCGCAGAGACAAATCATGCTATTATGAAGTCTACTAGTTCTTACAATTTTTGTATAAATTTAATGTTGTGTTTGGAATGGATAATAAGGAGATGGAAGTGGTAAGGATTAGAGAGAGAGAGAGAGAGGTGATGGCAGTAATGCTACCAGCGGAGGAGTAAGAGAGGAGGGAAAGGAAGATGAGCAATGTTTGTTTGTGATGTTGTGGGTTGTTTGGTTACAAGGAACAAAGGGTAATTTTGGTATTCAGTCACCATAATATGCTGATGTAAGAAATTTTCATCGC